ATTTTGTAATTGGAATTAATATTTATACTGAACATAAATTTTCGGGAGACTTTTCACCACATAAAAAACAGGAAAGCACATAATACGAATAACTTAGTACCTTTGAGACTGTCTGAAACCTTCTTTGCTGATAGGATTTACTTATCCTTTCATCCTTACGTTATAACACCAGCAAACGATCGGAATTTATTAAAACATGTGTTTTTTATTTATTTATTGAATGTTATAACATTATGTCACTTGGACATAGGGCATTGTGAGGTAGTTTATGTGTGCAAATAAACATTTTTTTTTACTTATTTACATTTATCCTTACTAGTCGAATCACTATTATTTTTCATTTATTTTGCTAAAGTTATACTGTATTAAAGTAGCACATTCATTACATTAACACAGTTCCGACGAAATACGAATAGCTGTTCTTAACCACTTTGTACATTTGCCTATTCTATTGAGCTATTCGATAAGTCCTACAACAGTGAAAATTTTCAAAATTAAAAAGAATGATTACGGTATATTTCTGCATAACACCTCACCATTCTTTCTTGGGTTATAATGCAGTTTGACGACCAATCGTCAGGACGCAGTAGTTTTAAAGTTTTTGTTGTTGCTGACGTTTCAACCCAAACGTGTGGGTCATCATCAGGGCAGGATACCAGCACTGATGATGACCCACAAGTTTGGGTTGATACGTCGGAAGCGATAAAAATCTTTAAATTACTGCATCCTGACCATTGTCTGTGGGTGATATGGAGAACAGTCTACTAACTTCAATAATACATTGTTTTACCCGATTCGAGGTGAGTCGTCCGTTAAAGAGGAGTTAGTGCCAGAAAAGGGAGTGAATAAACAAAGGGTCCTAATCCGACTGGAGCGGACAAACCGCCCTCAACTTCTGGAACGGAGCGTAAACATTAAACTTCTCCGTTTAGGTAGGCAGCCCGTCTCCCCTGCCACTTTCACACCAGTTAACCATATTTATTATCCTTTCTTCAGGACTATTCTATCTTATCTTGGGGTAATTTGCCATGTTAAGAAACTATAATAAGAATAAATATTAATGTGGTTAGTTTAGTTCGTTCTTCAATCAGGATTAAATAAATATAAATATGTTTTTCTCTTTAATGCCTTTAAAAGACTTTCTATTTTTAAATATTGGAGTACTACCATTGGATGGTTTTTCTTCATGTTGTATATGTGATGTTACTTTCATATTTACGTGTTGTATTTGTCATTTAATATAGTTGTAAATTTTAAAAATAAAAAAAAAATAAATTTACTGTGCTGACATGGTTTATATTTAAGTAGAGGAAGTTCAAATAACGAAAATCCATTTGAATCAAATATCAATAATTATATTTTCTTCGTGTAAGAGGACATATAACAAATGCCGAGACAAAAAAAAAATATATATCAAGTTTAATTTATCTTGTTCTTTGCCAAATAAAAATAATATGTTTGAAATCCAAGGGAAGGTATAGTCATCCCTTCGGTAATTGAGTGCTTTGTTACTAATTGGAGGGTTCCAAACGTACTAGCTTGTTGTGAGATTCCGTATCGAGCCTTTAATTTCCCCATAGAGAGCAGCACCGGACGGATGATCTCACAAGCTGAAAATGTTACAATATAATTAAGATAAATAAATTAAATAAAATATGTTCTCTATTGTACTTATTGTCTCCCAAACACTATACGAATGCACGTTTAACAGTGAATATCTAAACATTGATTGCTGAATGTTTATAACAAGTATAAAGCCTACAAACTATCTGTCATGAGGTGGAGAATACATATTGACTCTTCTGCAATAAAATCCTTTCTTTATTGGAAAACTTTTTTTTTTATGCAAATTGCGCCATCAAACTTATTAAGGGCATATTTTGAGAGGTTTTTGAATTGTTGAGGGGGGAAGAGAGAACATTTCAACGGGGTTATGAATTTTCGAAATGAATAGTTTCAGAGTAAGGGGCAAAGAGAAAACGTGGAATATACCGCAGCAAGTGTAATTCTGTGTGTGTGTGTGTTTGTGTGTGTGTGTGTGTGGGGTCGGCGGAGTGGCCAAATGGCCGACTGTGCAAGGCACCGCCTTTGCCCGGAACCTGATATATGACAAATGATGTAAAAATAGTCAGGAGTTCGCGTCCCGGTACCGAGGTAGTATTTTAAATCCCCGAGATGATCACCCCTGGAACGCAGTTCTGTAGTTTAGATGTGGGTTTGATGTGAATATGAGAATCGTTGATAGAAATTCATGATGGAAAATATTTCCTACTCCTAGAAATATGGGATACTAGATGGGACCTTGGGACTGTTTTTTTCTTTCTAGATTTCCACAGGTTAACAGTTTCTGTTTTCATTTCGATTATTAATATAGATTTTTCTTAAGTACATTTTTGAAGATAATTAGTGTTAGAGAACAGTGTGGGGACTTCTGAGGCTACGAGACCAGAGTGACAACACGATTGCGTCATGAGTTTCCAGATTCAAAATTTCCATTCAACAAATCTTATCCATTCAAGAAAGATATCTAATCTCAATTTTTTTTTAGATTAGGCAACTGAAACTAATATTGAAAAAGAAGGTTTTGTTGCATTATGTACAATTCTTTTTATTTATATTGGTATTGCTAATTCACTGTTAGAAAACAATTCCCCTCTCTGAATTATATACCTATAAATATCTCTAGAAACGACAGTTACAAAAATATTTTACCGAAGCGACGTCAGGTTTATCGAGGCTAAAGTTTAGTTTTGCATACGCCAAGCTATCCGGAGTCAATATTGTAAAATGGGAACAAAAAGTTTTTCCACAGTGGCAACTTTCACCAACAAAGATAAGCGGAAGAAATAAACGGACAGATCGGTCCCCCAAGTTAGTTGGGACAAACAACATGAATTACAATTATAAATAGTTACTGGCTGAACATTGTTATTTGATCAGAATACAAAAATATATATCCCCCACTGTGAAGAAATGCCTTAAAACATTTTGAGCAATGAATATTCATATGATGAAAATTCGACATTTCAACTCTACCAAAGGATAATAATTTAAACTACATAGATGGACTCTTATATCAATTAAAGATCTATTTATTTTGACAGTTTGATTTATATCTAATCCATTGAACGCTAAAATATTTGATAAATCGACGGATATTATATCCGAGATGTAATCTAGCAGAACAAAGGTCTGGAAACCATGATATTGATAATGAAATATTTTTTCTCTAAACGATACTAATATAAAAGTCATTGTAGAATTTCTTAACTATCTCTTGCCTTATACTAATATGTTTTTTTTTTATGTATCATAAATATTTATAAACACAAATAAAACGGTAATAAAATATTACTTAGACGTAGATCATCGATATGTTTTTCATTTTTCGGTATTTTCATAAATTTTAAATAAATTGAATGTCTTCAACATGCAAGCAAATCGAGAATATTGTACAAAAGATTCAACGAAGTAGAGCTACCTACAAACCTCAGACCACATCATACAATACTAATACAGCAAGTTGGTGGAACTTTTGTTACCCAGAAGTATGGTGTACTAGATAGATGGGTAAAGCACTTCAGACTCCTTCTCAAAAGAGAATATTGAAGCATCTCTCATGTTGATAGCAGACCAAGAGAGGGCGATAACTACACTAAGAGAACCACCTGATGAGGATGTTAAAAATGTCATCTTAATGTTGAAACAAATTAAGGCCATCCAGAAATGGATGGGACTCTTGAAGTATTGTGGAGAATGATTAAGGAGAGAGTTATACTTTATTCTCCTTATATGGGAGGAGGAAGGAGTAAACGCCAAAATACAGGAGTCAATCAATAAATCGCCCTACAAATACAAAAAAAAAGGAGAACTAACTACTTTTGTCACTCAAGATTTGCAATTGGCCACACTGTGCTACGCGAGAGTCTCTTCTTACTTTCCACTGGTTTCTCGTGTTTTAAATTACATATCCAGCTCGCTGTAATGTAGAAACATCGAAGATAAAAATATGAGGAAAGATTTTGTCTATTATTTCAATAAAAATTTTGTTTCAACATTAAGATGGCATTTTTAACATCTTCATCAGGTGGTTCTATTAGTGTAGTTATCGCCCTCTCTTGGTCTGCTATCAACTTGAGAGATGCTTAAATATTCTCTATTGAGAAGGAGTCTGAAGTGGTTCACCCATCTATCTAGTACACCATACTTCTGGGTAACAAGAGTTCCACCAACTGCTGTATTTGTATTGCATGATGTGGTCTGAGGTTTATAGGTAGCTCTCTTCCGTCGACTCTTTTTCTGCATGTTGAAGACATTCAATTTATTTAAAATTTATGAAAATACCCGAAAATGAAAAACATATCGATGATCTACGTCTAAGTAATATTTTATTAGAATTTTGTAATATTTTATTTATTCTGTAATGTAGAAACATCGGAGATAAAAATATTAGATTTGTCAATTATTTCAATCATCTTCCTTAAACATTATTTTTTAAATTAATTGTTATCAGAGTATACATTTATAAAAAAATCTACTGTTTTCTATTCTTTGGAAATGGAATTTTCAATAAAAGTCAAAAGTGAATTAAAATTCGCCAAAATGCAAATCTAAGACTTTCTAAATGTTCTCCAGATCATTCATTTCATAAAAGAAAAAATATATTTATACCATAAGCTCATTTTTTTTTTTTTTCTGGAAAAGTACTTTCTAAATTGTCAAAATGAAACTTCCTTTAAAGGTTCTATAAGAATTTCAAAACCCAATTATTATTTTATTTAAAATTATTTTCTTTTATCTATTGTTTTTATTTATATTACACGTTATAGTGGTGAAGATGACCCTCATGTTTGGGCCGAAACATCGGCTTGAGAACTAATTTTTTTTATTTTATATCAGTAAAACACTTAAATGATACACAATCTTTATAAAATTTTTGAACAATTAATTATCCCTTATTAATTGAATATATTTCTTATTCTATTTATTTAACTTTTCAGGAAAGTGGCGGTAGCGTTGACGCGGGAGGTACATCCTCCCCCGGTGGTAGCTGCAAGTCGTACACCCCGCTTGGGGCCCTGTCTTCCATGCAGCCCCCGGGCCAAGGAAGGCCTTGTGGCTCCTCTGCATTCTCGGCTCCGCCCTACCACCCTCACCCCCAGGAATTGCACGGTGAGTCTTTTTATTTGTATGTCTTCTAAAATTAATTTCAACAGAACAATTCGCTCCTATTTTACCTTTTATTAGCAAGGAGGTGTGTGATCACATTTCACAGAAGGAATCATCTTGCTCATTTTACACCAGGTAGAAATAAAAGTCTCACAGCTTCAAGTATGTGTTTTGTCGCCATATGTTATCTCTCATTATCTTTTATTAGATTTTAACAATTTATCTAATTTTAAGGAGATTGTTAACAGTGGTCTAAGAAACTATGCATAACATAATTTAAAAATCTGGTGATACGCATCCCTCAACTTTCTCTTACCACCCTGCTCCAAGTTAAAATATATATTTAATAAATTTTAAGATAAATAAAACTTTCATTATAATCACAACCTAAGATAATTAATATGAACTATGACAATTGCACAAAATATATTTGGTATGTCTATTCAAGCTGAATATATAAAAAACGTTTTCCGTTTATTTTTTTATAAAAAAATCCATTTAATTCCTTTGGAAACGTCCTTTTCTCATTCAGAAATATAAAAAATATCTTGTATTGTCGAAGGACAAGGGAGGAGAAGGGTAATAAATAAATTAATAATAATATAAAAGATCATTAACTATTAATAATTAATGCAGGTCCCTGATGAAGACCTGCAAAGTCGGGTCGAAACGTCGGCTTTCAATAAAATAGTTTTACCACTATTTAGCCTATTTATGAGCTAAGTGAAACTCCTAGATGAACACACCTCCCTGATGAAGACCTGCAAAGTCGGGTCGAAACGTCGGCTTTCAATAAAATAGTTTTACCATTATTTAGCCTATTTATGACCTAAGTTAAACTCCTAGATGAACACACCTCTCTGATGAAGACCTGCAAAGTCGGGTCGAAACGTCGGCTTTCAATAAAATAGTTTTACCACTATTTAGCCTATTTATGTGCTAAGTGAAACTCCTAGATGAACACACCTCTCTGATGAAGACCTGCAAAGTCGGGTCGAAACGTCGGCTTTCAATAAAATAGTTTTGCCTCTATTTAGCCTATTTAGTTGCTCTTTTATTAAAGCTGAATAGTCATAGCATAATAAAACATGAAGAAATATTAAAAAATAATTGGCTTAGGCTACGAAAAACAACAGTAAAGTCAGTTTTTTTTACAAAAAAATTTTCAAGTTACCAATCAAGCGTCGTTTGTAATTAAACGGCCTACAATAACGCAAAATGAGCTGAAATAAAACATCTGGAGAATATATTTCTCTTTCTAAAACGCTGATTATTTTTTAAAAAATTTTAAGTAGTTCCGTAGAAAATGTACTTATGCGGCAGAAAAGCGGTACTGGCGTGGGTGCCTACAGGCCTCTACCACACCATTCAGCACACATAAATGGCTTAGTTATAGTGATATAATAACATTTTTGGTACATTATATTGGTTTTATTAACGAACAAATATTAATGCAATAATTTAATCGTAAAAAAAAAATTAAAATTTAAAACAAAAAATTTATTATTATTTTTTTTTAATTTAACCTCCTTTATTCTATAAGTAGGTCGTTTAAGAAGACCTCAATTGTAAAAATGATATAATGATAATAATAAAACTTAATTAAAAAATACTTTGCTAAATATCTTGATTTTTTTTAATTTAACGTTTGCAATTTAACACTGTGTTTTGTATATTTACTGATTCTTAGAGGTAATTAAAATTTATATATACTTCCCAGGAAATGAGTCATTTTAATACCTGTTTTATAAACTAAAATAATATATACCTAATCTGAACTATATATAATAAATAGCTACCGGGTTGTTTAGTAAAACTCATATATCACTAATTAAAAAATTAATTTTTATTTCCTTTATTTTGTGCGGAAGTTGGACTATATCATAAATAAATATGAAATTTTAATATTGAATGAATTATTCTCTCTGCACAAATAAAGATAGAAAGGGTGACGCTATAAGTTCTTCTATAAACCAGAACTGATTGTTTGTTTTTGGTATCAAAATGAGGAAAAACGCGAAATTGAACCAGAAAATTGGAAAAATACAGTAAGCGAACGAGAAAGGAAGTGCCAAAACCTCGGAAAAGATAAAAAGGACCAGTATCCATTATATAGCTAAATGAATGTTTAGTAGACAGATGAACAAAATATTTCAAGATGCTGCTAAAAGGGGGTCAATGGCAGTTTGGATGATATTAAGTGGACGATGTAGGTTTATTATGGTGAAAACCACTTTATTTTCGATTGCTGAAGGTGCACATCGGGACTATCTTCACTTTGAAGCAATATATAGAGAGGTATATCGAGAAAGTTATAGCTCATAGCTCTCCTTCTGTTCAGTGTATTTGTAAAAGATTTTTTAAGGAATCTAAAAGGAAAACGAGCTTTTCTGAAAGACAATTAGATATTAGCACAATCCAAAGTGTGAGGCACTAAGCAGATAGAGAGCGATTTTTCTTTTTATATGGACTTCTCTATAACCTGCCTTAAAGTGAAGGCAGTCCCAATTTTCAACTTCTCTTCCAATGTGCAACTTGAGTTTCTCAATCCATATCGCTCTGGCAATCGACAATATTTCTTATTCCAGCTTCTACGATTCTTGAGTATAATTTGTTTGGTACACTAAACAGGAATGGATCTTGATGGGTATTACATTTCCTAGTATCTCCTTTCTTGTAAAGATAAAAACCACAGTCCTTTCATATCATTTTCTAATATACTTGTTGCCTATGTACGCGCAAAACTGTGCGAAGCAGTTCGGTTTCGCCCTTTCCATTTCTTTGTGCAGAGAGAATAATGCATTCAATATTAAAAGTTCCTATTTTTTTATGATATGGTACAAATTCCGAACAATTCATTCCACAATTTCTGAACAATAACTAATATAAGATTCCTTAAAAAATCTTTTACAAATACACTGAACAGAAGGAGAGCTATGAGCTATAACTTTCTCGATATACCTCTCTATATATTGCTTCAAAGTGAAGATAGTCCCGATGTGCACCTTCAGCAATCGAAAATAAAGTGGTTTTCACCATAATAAACATACATCGTCCACTTAATATCATCCAAACTGCCATGATGCCCCTTTTAGCAGCATCTTGAAATATTCTGTTCATCTGTCTACTAAACATTCATTTAGCTATATAATGGATACTGGTCCTTTTTATCTTTTCCGAGGTTTTGGCACTTCCTTTCTCGTTCGCTTACTGTATTTTTCCAATTTTCTGGTTCAATTTCGCGTTTTTCCTCATTTTGATACCAAAAACAAACAATCAGTTCTGGTTTATAGAAGAACTTATAGCGTCACCCTTTCTATCTTTATTTGTGCAGAGAGAATAATTCATTCAATATTAAAATTTCATATTTATTTATGATATAGTCCAACTTCCGCACAAAATAAAGGAAATAAAAATTAATTTTTTAATTAGTGATATATGAGTTTTACTAAACAACCCGGTAGCTATTTATTATATATAGTTCAGATTAGGTATATATTATTTTAGTTTATAAAACAGGTATTAAAATGACTCATTTCCTGGGAAGTATATATAAATTTTAATTACCTCTAAGAATCAGTAAATATACAAAACACAGTGTTAAATTGCAAACGTTAAATTAAAAAAAAATCAAGATATTTAGCAAAGTATTTTTTAATTAAGTTTTATTATTATCATTATATCATTTTTACAATTGAGGTCTTCTTAAACGACCTACTTATAGAATAAAGGAGGTTAAATTAAAAAAAAATAATAATACATTTTTTTTTAATTTTAATTTTTTTTTTTACGATTAAATTATTGCATTAATATTTGTTCGTTAATAAAACCAATATAATGTACCAAAAATGTTATTATATCACTATAACTAAGCCATTTATGTGTGCTGAATGGTGTGGTAGAGGCCTGTAGGCACCCACGCCAGTACCGCTTTTCTGCCGCATAAGTACATTTTCTACGGAACTGCTTAAAATTTTTTAAAAAATAATCAGCGTTTTAGAAAGAGAAATATATTCTCCAGATGTTTTATTTCAGCACGTTTTGCGTTATTGTAGGCCGTTTAATTACAAACGACGCTTGATTTGTAACTTGAAAATTTTTTTGTAAAAAAAATTGACTTTACTGGTGTTTTTCGTAGCCTAAGCCAATTATTTTTTAATATTTCTTCATGTTTTATTATTCTATGACTATTCAGCTTTAATAAAAGACCAACTATGAGGAAATTAAGCCAAATGCTGATTCTCAGTGACCAAAAAACTAACTAAAGTCAAAGTCGTCAATCCGCCATCTTTGGACGCCATTTTGGGGCAGTGCGTTCACTTTTTTTTGTGGGAACATTGGCTTTTTTTTAATAAATTGTTACAAGGAACACAACGATATGCAATTTATAGGGATGTGGGGGGGGGGGTGCACGGTAAGGGGGTCTGGCCACCGTATTAGACCCGCCTCAGAATTTCAATGAGTTTAATTTAATAACTACATGATATTAAATCCCACTAAGTTATTAATATTTGTACAACTAGATAATGAGCAAAAGATAAAAAAGCACTGTAAGCTATTTTCGTTGTTTGTAACAAAAAGGACCAATACGCAAAACTTTTAAATTTTAATGGAAGGACATTTTTTTGTTTACAATTTTTAAGTTATTATTGCTAAAAGCGTCTCAAAAGTCTCATCTCCATAAACGCTTCGATTAAATTTGAAGCCAGTATTCTATATGCAAATTATGGGGTAGTAATAAAATAAAAAAAATAATAAAAAAGGAGGATGTCGATATCATAAAAAATAAACAGAAAAAATAATGGTTTCCTAAAGAATATTCAATTTTATCTAGTAACACTGAAATATTTATTGAACATCCTATATCCATCAGTATTTTTGAAAGCTTAAATGCATACAATTAAAGAAAAAACATTTTAAAAATCACTATAAAATGATTTAACATTCAAGATAATAAGTACCTGGAGAGTATATATATATAGATAAATATTTTTATTTTCCCC